GACAGGGTCTTTTTTGATCAGTACTGTGTTCCTTTCCCTGGGACAATGCCCAACACATAGTAGACATTCAATAAATATTTGTTTGATGAATAAATGGATGAACTCATTTTTATTTTACTCTCCCACAGTCAGCAGTATCCCAGGCAGCCAACTTTTAATGTTGGAAGGGGCCCAGCAGACAAGCAAGAAATGCCATAAATGAATTCCTCAGGGCAGTTATGTGATTCTAGTGTGTGTGAACACTTAAACGGTCTGACTAGACAGCAGTGGGTCAAGACCCCCTCCTTGGAAATTATCCCGAACTGTTCCCTTGTGGTGGTTGCAAGAGGAAAAAAGGGTCAGGAATTGCCCTTATCCCTGAGAGGAAGCCTGTACGTTGTACTCATTTTCTCTGTATTTCTGGAGCTGTCATATTAAATCCAAGAGGCCTTAGCTCTGCGGGAGTTTTCTTCCTTCTAAGGCAATCTTCTGAGTCAGCATTCTGTCTGGAAGTCCCCTTTAACTTGTCATGGCTTTCCCTGGTGAATAGTTGAACAGAGGAGGGAAGCACTGATCCTTCGCAGTGATGTGTTAATAGTAAAACCTCTGAAAAGCCCAGCCTCGGCTCACTCCTTTTTTAATATTTATTTTTTGTTTGTTTAGTTTGGGAAAAGTATGGGGGTGGGCACAGGGTAGAGGGAATTCTGTGTGTGAAGTTTTATAGCCTCTTTTAAACACAGAACATGAAATGATGAGCTGTTGAGTAATACGTGTATTTTATATATAAATTATTAGTGCACAGTTCTTTTGTGTTCTGTCCCCCCTCCCCTATGTGTCTTAATCTGGGTTCAGATATCAAATACAAGTAGTTTATTTGGAAAAGCAGGAAATATCACAGGAGTGAAAAAGAGAAATAGGAAGAGGAAGGATGATTTAGTGAGCCAGCTACAACTGTGGGCAGTTGAAGTTTGATCCTGAGGGGAAGGGGTATAGAACACATGACATGTGTGCATACTCACTTGTGTCTGACTCTTATGACCCTGTGGCCTGTAGCCCGCCAGGCGCTTCTGTCCATCACATTTTCTAGGCAAGAATACTGGAGTGGTTGCCATTTCCTCCTCCAGGGGATCTTCCCAACCCAGGGATCGAACCCACATCTACTGCTTGTCCTGCATTGGTAGGTGGATTCTTTAGCACTGAGCCACCAGGAAATCCTTTAGGACACACACTTCAGGCTATTCTACCTGGGAACAAGGTAGATGGAATACTGATGTGCCAGCTTCCTTGAGTCATTGTAGGAACCTGCTCCCAAGGAGGTTCGTTCCCTAGAGCAGCCTGCAGCCTCCTGGGCCTTGGAGAATACTTTAGATAGAGAGAGATGAATACTGGCACTTGGCGATCAGGTACACTAAGCAGTAAGGCATGAGCGGGGTATGAAGGAGTGAGTTACCCGTGCTTCTGCTTTCTGTTAAAACGACATGAGTACCATAGCTTTATCTTTGCTCTTTGTTTTATCCTTTTTCTACCACATCTTTATCTGGGGGTGGCTCAGGGCTCAAATCTGTCTTCCCTTGACTTCTGTGACTCACCAGGCACCTTATTTCTCATAATGGCACCTAGTGATGTCTACTTCATGGCATGGTAGTTGTGTACCTACGTGTATGTTTTCTACTTAAATTAAGCTCCTTGGGAATCTGGATATTACCTTATATTTCTTGGTAAACATCAGAGTGCCTGACATGTAAGTGCTTGGCTCTTGTGTAATTAATGAATTTTTCCCCCTATCTACTAGGTAGTTTAGCAAAACAGGCTGTGAGAGGAAAGACTTGGGCTCTTGAATTCCAGCTTCCTAACTTCAAATAAGATAGTATCATAAACTACAGGGAGTTAGTGAATGGACCTTAAATCAAGACAAAGAGGATTCATCTTCTCTTTTTTTCTTTTATTTTTAAGGGAAAAATTTTAAGTGTATAATATTGTGGTGATAAGTACATTAACATTGGTCTGTAACCATCACCAGCATCTGTCTCTAAAAGTTTTTCATCTTATAAAACTGAAATTCTTAAAAAAAAAAAAAAACAAAAAAACCCCTGAAACTCTGCACCCAGTTAACACTACCTCCCCACTCTCCCCTGCTCCCTGGTCTTGGTAAACCAGCATTCTACTTTCTGTCTCTATGAATTTGACTACTCACTTATTCTATTAACCTCATAAGTGGAAGCATACAGTATTTGTCTTTTTATCATGAACACACAATGTTCAGGATACATCCGTGTTGTAACTTATGTCAGAATTTCCTTCCTTTTGAAATCTGAATTATATTCCACCATGTGTATACATCACATTTTGTTTATACATTCATCTGATGATGGGCACTTGGGTTGCTTCCCTCACTTGGGTTGCTTCCCTCTTTGGCTGTTATAAATAAAACTGCTATAAACATTGTTATATAAATATCTCTAAGAGATCCTGCATTCAGTTCTTTTAGATATATCCAGAGGTGGAATTGATGACTCATATAGTAATTTTATTCTTAATTTTTTGAGGAACTGTTTTCTATTTTTTTGATAGTAGTCATCCTAATGAGTATGAGACAGTATCTCATTGTGGTTTTGATATGCCTTTCCCTAATGATGAGTGACGTTGAGCTTTTTATGTGCTTATTGGCCATTTGTATATGGCCATTATATGTTTCTTCTTTGGAGAATGTCTGTTCAAGTACTTTGCCCATTTTTTAAATCTTTGGTTTTTGTTGTTGAGGAAACTTTTTAATTGAAGTGTAGTAGGACTAGGCTGAGTTTCTTTATTTTGAGCATACTTACGTAGTGACTTGTCAAGTACCCATGGGCCAGGAGTTTAGGGACTTTCAGCCCTAATCTGGCTTCCATCATTCCTTCACAGGGTAATCATAGAATCCTAGAACTAAAGGAGCCTTAGCTCTTCTGGTTGCCATAACAAAATACCATAGACTGGGTGACTTATGATTCTTATAATTTCAGTAATTTCTTTCTAATAGTTACGGAGGCTGGAAGTCCAAGGTCAGAGTGCCAATCTGATTGGTTTGTGGTATAGGCTGTCTTCATGGTTGCAGCCAGCTGACTTCACTGTTTCTTCACATGGTGAAAGGGGCTAGGGAGCTCTGTAGGGTCTCTTAAGAGTGCTAATCCCATTTATGAGGGCTCTACCCTCAAGACACAATCATTTCCCAAAGGCCCATCTTCTGATATTACCACATTAGGCATTAGGATTTGAACATGTGAATTTGGGGGGACACAAACATTTAGATCAGAGCAACGAGCAACCAGATGAGGAAACGGAACCCACTTCTTTTTCCATTGTGCCCTGGGCCAAATCACCTAGTCCCTGTAGATAACATTTTCTTCATCTTTGAATACAAGTTTCTGTATTTCCTTTATCATGTCACTACTGGTGTTTTGAAGACTGGTAAATTGATTTTTAATGATTATAATGTAACTAATAACTTATTTTTATTAGGCACGAGGTTGTGCATATATTGGACTTTTACTTTTTTTGGATGTTCATAGTGTCATTTTTAAGTCAGAAATTTTCATTAGAAAACTGTAGGCCTTTATTTTTCTAGGTAAATAAGCAGATGGGACCAAAAGGCAGGAAGTAATGCTGAGCTAAATGTAAGGTAGAGCACTTTTGTTAATCTTTGGAAATAAGTGAACTCACAGAATTGCTCACTGGTTGCCATTAGACAGTGTTAGACAATGCTCTTATGAGTTCTAATTAGAATAGATCTGACTTAGTGACCTGTCTTTTTGAGATCAGGCAATTTGAAGCCACCCCATGAAAGGGGCGCTAACTCATAGCTGGATTGACAGTGGCTTCCTACTCAATGATGTCGGATGACAGCAGGCAAGTTCACGATGCTTGGGCTTGCATAAAAGGTCTCTGGGAAGCTCCTAAATTTTTATTTTTTTTTTAAATGTGGTATAAAGTACATGTAATATAAAACTTAACACTGTAGCCATCTAAAGTGTGCAGTTTTGTGGCATTAAGTATATTCACATTGTTGTGTAACCATCACAACTGTCCATCTCCAGAACCTTTTCATCTTTCTAAGACTGAAACTCTATACTCATTAAACATTAGTGCCCCATTTCTCTTCCCTCCGAGTCCTTGGCAACTACCATTGTGCTTTCTGTCTCTGAATTTGACTACTCTCTGTTCCTCATACAACAGTTGTCTTTTTGTATCTGGCTTATTTCATTTAGCAAAATGTCTTCAGTTTTCACCCATGTCGTAGCACGTGTCAGAATTCTTTTTAAGGCTAAATAATATTCCATTGTATGGATATATATATATATATATATATATATATATACACACCACCTTTTATTTGTCTGCTCATCCATTGATGTAAATTTAGGTCGTCTCCACTTTTTGGCTGTTGTGAGCATTATACTATGGACATTAGTGTACTGATAGCTTGAGTTCCTGCTTTCAGTCGTTTGGTGTATACCTAGGAGTGGGATTTCTGGGTTATATGGTAGTTCTGTGTTTAACTTTTGGAGGAGCCTCCATTTTCTGTTCCACAGTGACTGCAGCATTATATAGCCCCACAAACAGTGCACAGCGGGTCCAGTTTCTCCACATACTCACGAACTCTTGTTTTCTGTCCGTTTGCTTTCCGTAACAGCCATCATAATTGGTGTGAAGTGGTACTACATTGTGGTTTTCATTGTCATTTCCCTAATGATTAGTGACGTCAAGCATTTTTTCATGTTGCTGGCTATTTTTATACTTTTTCTGGAAAAATATCTATTCAAGTCCTTTGCCCATTTTTAAATCAGTTTGGTTGTTTATTGCTGAGTTTTAGCCAACTAGTCTTTTGATTTGTAGATACTTTTAAGGGAGTGCTGTGCTGTGCCTTATAACTATATGTTCATTTATCTTGTTTCCTTTTAAAAAACCTTTTCCTCTATAGATAGGTGGATACATATATTATCAATCAGCACATAAGTAATAAATACATATTTTTTTTGTTTCAACAGTATATCCTTTCAGGCTCTGATGACTTCAACCTGTACATGTGGAGAATTCCCGCAGACCCAGAAGCCGGTGAGCATATCCTTAATATGAACCTGCTGCTAATGTTGGTGCTATTGGCCTTCTGCGTGCTGTGCCCTGAAAGGGCAGATCTGTAGAAACAGAGGAAGATATTTCTCCTTTAATATAATAGATTTATTGGAGAGTGACAAAAATAAACCCTAAAATAAAAATTAGAAGCCAGATTTAGCTATAACCTTCATGCATACCCTTATCTGACATGATCATGCTCAGATTTTTTCTCCTAAGAACTTTTCTTTAGACTTCTTGGGTCGCCTCCCCTTCGTTTTCCTCTCTCCTGTTTCACACTTGGAGTGTTTTTCACCTTGCTTTTCCTTTATCGACGTGCGTTCCTGCTCCGCATGTTCCTCTGCAAACAGTTGTTGGGGCCTCTGCCCTCCCTTTGGCCTCCCCGGTGATGTTAACTAAAGGGAAGCTTTCTTTGTTAATGGACAGATGTATTCGCTGGAGCTTGGCGGATCCCAGACATGAGAGAAATTAGGGAGAAATGTTTCTGCATTTGCTCTAGATGTATTCTGAAAAAGCTTTCCGTAAGTTTGGATCTAGGCCATCTGAGCTTTCAGACAGCGTGGATCATTCTTGATACTAGTGTCCTCCTGTGCTCAGATGAGTATTTCACTGGTGGCTTCCTACTGGTAGAAAAATACTTGTTTTTTATTCTCAGGACAGTTCAATACAGCCATCTGCTCCAGGTGATACATGGCATCAAACTGGAAAATGGTAGGAAAGGAATAGAGGACTGTGCTGATAATATTACACAAAATGTGTCTAGGTCTTAAAGTTGAGGAAAGTTGTTGGCTTGCCTATTGCTGAATTAACAATATTGTTACCAAACATCTGCCTTTTAGAACTTGATGAGGCTTACTTTTGGAAAAACTATCCGATTGCTATGCTCTGGTTACTAAACAAGTTACAAAAGGCCTTTTTCCCCTTATGGAATTTGGAAAGTGTGAATGAAGCATCTTACTTTTGACGTACAACCAGATGGGACAGCAACAGTCTATCTGAACAAAAAATGATGTTCTATCTCTAGAATTAATCCTGTATTAAGTCTCCCACCCCCATGAATCCTAGACTGATTAGCTGAGAAATAATCTTTGGGCTTAATTGTATCTTTTACATGATCTTGAAGACTTTTCATTATTAAGTCTATGTGACTTTTAAAATGGAAGGTAGATAATTTCCCTCTCCCAGGACTGCTCTCTGGAATCTTTTTCATGTTTGTATTGAAAGAAGGGGAAAGAATTAGCAGTACTATTGTAGATTTTTTTCACCTGCTGATTTCTGTACTGGCTTAGGGTATGGGCCACTGTTAGGCTGCCTTTATACGTAGATGATTATGCGATCTCTGGGTTGGTAGGGACCCTCAGAACTGATTGAGGACTCCAATACTGAAACTGGGAAATGGGTGCCTGGACCTTCCAAGGGTTGTATAGGCACAGTTAGTTTAAAGGAATCCATTTCTAGATTCTTAAATTCCATGTGTATTGTCCTTTCCCACTTCTCCTTTCCCCTTTGTCCTTCTCCCACTTTACAGAAAAAGAAGCAAGCAAACAGATAAACAAAAAATACCAGAAAATCAGAAATATTCCAGAAATATCTGACCACTTGAACCTTAGCATGGTGCATTGCCCTTAAGGTATAAAAATCTCTTAAGGTGGCCAAAAAAACAACTGAAGGATTCTTTAATCATAGGGCTGTAGCCCAACCCACCCCCTCCCTTCTCCCCTATCTTCTTATGCAATAAATTGCTTCTTTTTATAGTAATTGGTTTTTATAAAACATTAAATGTATATCTGTTTTGATCAGTTGTGTTCCAGTAAGAATTATAATTCCCTGGAGAAAGAAATGGCAACCCACTCCAGTATTCTAGCCTGGAAAGTCCCATGGTCAGAGGACCCTGGCGGGCTACAGTCCATGGGGTCACAAAAGAGTCAGACACAACTGAGTGACTGAGCAGAATTGTAATGGTAACTCTAATCTGATACAGTACCCAAATGTTAACACTTAGAGCCTTACAGTCACAGCAAATTAAAAAAATTTGAATTTGTATTTATAGTTTTGTTGGTGATTCTGATAGAATTTTTATAAAAATATATTATGTTGAAGTTTGGGGGAAAATAAGTAAAGTAGAAATGTTATTTCAAAGAGGAAAAAGGAATGATATAAATTTTCTATTAAAAAATAGTTAGACTTCAGATTCCACATAGGATGCAGTAGGTAGTTCCCACTGCAATAAGTACAAAAGTCAAATTACAAAAGCCATCTTTTTAAAGATGTCAGAGCGCTGTGGTACTAGTGTGTGAGAACTAAAGTCCAGAAGAAGGAAGAGCCTTCCCACCTGAGCAGGTCTGGCCCTGCTCTGTCCTGATGGCATCTGTGCCCAGGTTGTCAGTGGAGCTGCCATGGACAGCCTCTACCGGGGTCAAAGGAAATCAGTTTTCAACAGCCACAGGGGTTGATGGGATAGATTAGATTCAGAGGAACCCCAAACACATGACCAGTCTTCTCTGTAGGGCATTTGCTGGGTGCTGGGGTTGTACTGGGAGTTAGGGGACTAGACTGGAAAGCAGAATGAAGTGCCTATGGTATACCGGGCTTAGGAGACGGAGTTCCCCTAGTGGGAGGGGTCTGCTCCACAGGGTATTTTGAACCTGCTTGGAAAAGGATGATAAAGAGATGAGCTTAAAACCTCCAAAGGACAGAAGCAGGGAACAGAGGTTTCACAGGCTCTCCATCAAAAGCCCAAGAGGATGGAGCTGGACCAGAAAGGCAAAGTGTAAGTCTCTTGCAGTCTCCTGGTATGTAGAACACAAACTCCCACTGGTGGAAGAGACCTGCAACATGCGGGCTACAGGTCTTACCTTTGAGAGATTTGAAACGAGAAGCAGACTTAGTCTTACTAAAGAAGCAGCCCAGCCCTGCCTGGCCCTCCTTCTTGGATGAGGGTGGCCAGCCCCTTACCTTCTCGAGAAAAGCAGTAGAATGGGTGAATGCTAGATGGAGGAAGTGACTTTCATCTCTGTATCGGTCTGCTATGGCTGCCATAACACAATCCCACAGACTGAGTTATTTAAGCAGCAGAACTGTATTTCCTCACAGTTCTGGATGTCCAAGATCAAGGTTCTGGCAAGTTTGATTTCTCCCGAGACCTCTCTCCTGTGCTTGCTGATGACTGTCCTCTGTCTGTGGTCTCACATGGCCTTTTCTTGCTAATGTCTCATTGCTGATGTCCCTTCCTCCTCTTATGAGAACATCAGTCTTATTGGATTAGAGTCCTACCCTTATAATTTGCTTAACCTTAATTATCTCTTTAAAGCCTCTGTCTCCAAATAGTCACTTTGGGAGGTTGGGACGTCAACATATGAATTTGCAAGAGACACAAGTTCAGTCCATAACAGTCACTGTGGTTCTTTATCCTCAATGTCCAGCATGCAATAAAAAAGTTATGAAACAGGAAAATGTGGTCAGAGATCAAAAGAAGCCAATCCACAATGTTATCTAGATATTGAAGTCAAATAATCAGGAACTTTAAATATTGTAAATGTGATAAAGAAAATAGAAAAGATGGACAAAATTGATAAAAAGATGGAGAATTTCAACAGAGAATTGGAATCTACTTAGAAAAAAAATCATGTAGACATTCTAAAACTGAAAAACATGTCTAAAACTAAGAATTTTTTGGCTGGGTTTAATTGTGAAAGGACAGGTTTGGTGAATCAAAGACAGGTCAATAGAAGACATTTGAACTGAAGGACCATGAGAATGGAGAATGGAAAGAGCTAAACCAGAGTGTAAGAGGCAAGAGGGACATAGATGATCTAACATATCCATATGAAATTGAAGTCCCAGAAGGATAAGAGAAAGTGAAGCAGAAGTAATATATGAAGAAATAATAGCTGAAAGTTTCCAGCACAAATGAAATATGCCAATTTTCAGATTCAAAAACTCAGAGTAAACACAACAATGTCGATTCAAACAAGAGAGTAAATACAACACACCTAAGCACATCATAAGTCAAACTGTTGACAGCAAAAGATAATGAGAAAAGGCCTAAAAGCAGCCTGAGAAAATGGACAAATTACCTGTAAATAAACAGCAATAAGATTGATGATCAAACGATGGGAGCCAGACTGTAATAGAATGATATCTCTGAAGTGCTTAAAGAATTAAAACCTGCCAACCTTGAATTCTATACACAAGGAAAATATCTTTCAAAAATATAGGTAAAATAAAAGGCATTTTTAAAAAAGAAATTACAGTTTTTATATCCTTACTTAGCAGGACTCATGAATTGATACACCTAAACATTGAGCATCGACCGGTTATTTGCATTACAAAAAGAAAGGCAGCTAGACATTATGAGCGTGCTGATGAGAAACCCTGAATCTGATCAGACCTCAGGGTCCAGCTTTAATCTGCAGGTAGCACAGAGGACGGAGGGGTGTATTGTAGTACTACTACACTGTGAGGGTACAATCCACAAAACCCAGACTGTTAGAAACTGTAGGTGAAATGATCTTATGTTCTTCAACAGATACATTCTGATGATGGAAGAAAGGATGGACAGGGGGTAGCCTATTGTATAAAAAATCCAAAAGATACATTAACTAAAACAAAAAACAAGCAAAACTATTTAGGAGGGAATTCCCTGGAGAAATTGAGTGGCAGTTCAGTGGTTAGGGACTGCACGTTTTCACTGCCTAAGGCCCGGGTTTTTTTTTGTTTTTCTTTTTTTAATTTTTTTTTTTTTTATCACAACCATAGTGTATCTTTTTTTTTTTTTTTTTTTTACATGTATTCCCCATCCCGGTCCCCCCTCCCACCTCCCTCTCCACCCAATCCCTCTGGGTCTTCCCAGTGCACCAGGCACGAGCACTTGTCTCATGCACCCAACCTGGGCTGGTGAACTGTTTCACCCTAGATAATATACGTGTTTCAATGCTGTTCTCTTGAAACATCCCACCCTCGCCTTCTCCCAGAGTCCACTA